GAAAGTCAAATACACATCAAATTCAAGCACATAGGAAGATTCTAGAAAAGTCACTAGAATATAACATAGATACACACCATCTCTTCATTGACTTCAACAAATCAGCCTATGACTGCCAATGTGTGAAAAAAAACTGCATTATATAATGCATTGATAGACTTTGGGATCCCACCTAAGTTAGTTAAGTTGACCCAAGTAACAATGCAAAACGTAAGCTCATGCTCTAGAATTGAAGGAGAAAACTCTACGTTCTTTGACATCAATAATGGTCTAAGACAGGGTGACGCGTTGGCGTGTCTGCTCTTTAATATTGCCTGGGAAAAGGCAATCAAACAATTAAATATTAGAATGAATGAAACTATTTTTAATAGATCGACGCAAATTGTCGCATTCGCTGACGATACAATTATAGTAGGCAGAAGTATGAAAGACATGGTGCAGTGTTTTACAAGACTTGCGGACGCAGCAAGTGAATTAGGACTTGTGGTAAACGAAACAAAAACAAATATTGGTTTCTAAAAATCCTCGAAATATCCAACAGACATTTCAAATTAACAAACATACCTTTGAACAAGTCAAAGAATTTACATATCTTGGATCGCTAGTAAATGCAACAAACACGACAAGCGACGAAATAAAAAGACACATAGCAATAGCAAACAGAACTGTTCACGGTCTCCAGAAACATTTAATAAATAAAAATATAAAACATACAGTAAAGCTTAATATATACAAAACCTTAATAAGACCGGTTTTGATATATGGGGCTGAAACGTGGACCTTATCTCAAAATGATAAAAGACTTCTTAGTATTTTTGAGAGAAAAATTCTTAGAAAGATTTTTGAGGCCGTAAATGAAAATGGGCTATGGCGTCGAAGACACAACTTTGAACTATATCATTATATACCGATCCAGATATTGTGAAATTCGTTAAAATGCAGAGACTTAGATGGGCTGGACACATTGCTAGGATGTCAGATCACGAATACACGAAGAGATTAACATTTTCAAAACCAGGGGGCACAAAAAGCAGAGGACGACCACAAATTAGATGGATTGATGATGTGGAAGATCTACAGATTCTAAGGGTTAGAAGATGGAGGGAAGTTGCCAGGAATCGACAGGAGTGGCGACTTCTTTGTGAGCAGGCCAAGATCCACAACGAATTGTCGAGCCACTTATGATGATGATAACTACATAAATATTCTCTTTAAAAACATGTTTATAAATAAATAACACTTTTAACTTAAAGTTTATAAATTCAACAGAGGTTTTGTTAGAATGATCTACTTTTATAGATACAATTTTTGGATTTTTTCGTTTATTTTATTGTAATATTATTTTAACTGTACTAACCATTTTTCAAATTAATTTTATCTTCTCTCCGACAAACATTTATCCACTCTTTTAATAAATCTTCAATTGCAGGAAATCTGTAGTATTTCACATCCGTATCTTTTGTATTTTTGTTTGAATTTTTACAAGTAGCCATAGCACAGCCCGGCATTTTAGTCTCGGTTTTAATAAACTACCAACTTCAGTTAAAAATGCACAGTATTAAATAAGTACTAATAAACAACAGTAAAGTCATGAATGGTGAAAATGACAAGTAGAGTAAACAAACTTACTGATTATAGAGCACGGAATGCAAGATCCGGCAGGGGAGGAATAACCTTAGATCACAGCGCATCCCAGGTGTAAACCAGAGACATCCTTGTGCACTTAAGACATTGAAAATAGCAACCTGCAATGTCAGAAGTCTATACGCAAGTGGTAAATTAACGAACGTACTGCTTGAAATGGAAAACCTTCAAATTGATGTTTTAGTTATAGGTGACGTACAGTGGCCAGGTTCAGGCAAACAAATTACAAATAATGGAACCATGTATTATTCAGGTAACAATGGGATCGATCATCGCTATGGTGTTGCTATCTTAGTTGCAAAAAAGGTCAATTACTCTGTGAGAAGTTTTACTCCTTATTCTGATAAGACCTTATCAATACAACTTCAGTCTAAAAAGATATGGTAATTTTTATTCAAGTTTATGCTCCTAGGGCAGATAAAGATGACGACGAAATCGAACTATTTTACCATGATTTAGAACAAGTCTTAAAATCAATGAAGAAACATCACACTACAATAGTAATGGGCAACTTCAATGCCAAAGTTGGTTAGGGAAGACGGGATGGATATGTGGGGGAATATGATCTAGGAAATAGAAATGTGGTGACCGTTTGATACAATTTTGCCAGACGGGAGAATTTGTAATAGCTAATACACTTTTTAAGCTACCAAAAAGAAGATTGTATACATGGAAATCTCCCTGTAATACAACGAATAGAATAATCCGAAATCAAATTGACTTTGTCCTCATTAGACAAAGATTTCGTCATTCTATACTGTCCGCAAAAACTTATCCTGGAGCAGACATCGGTTCAGACCATAACTCCATAGTAGTCATATTACGAACCAAATTGAAACTGGTTAAAAAACCCACACAAAGTAGAATATTTGATATTAAGCGATTAAGGGAACCACAAACAAAGGAACAAACTGTAAAAACTATTACTGAAAATCTTTTATTAAGAAAATCACTCAAAACAAAAAAATACAATTAAATATAATGAAACTGATCAATTAATTAAAAAGAGGATAAAATAAGCTAAGGAGAGAATGCTACATGAGCAGTACCAAGAACTAGAAGAAATTGAGAAAAAAATATGACTTTTTTAACATGCATAGAAGAATTAGAGAATAAACAGAAATGAGAAAAACACTTCAAACTAGGCAAATAAGAGATGAAAGTGGTGCACTTATAACACATATAAACCAAAATATGCAGAGATGGATACAATATATAGCACAACTTTTTGAAGATAAAGAGAGAACAGAAGTACCAAAAGAATTTAGGGATGATACTGGGCCTGACATTATACGAGAAGAAATTGAATATGCAATGAAACAAGTTAAAGGTGGTAAATCTCCCAGACCTGATGAAGCTCCTATCGAATTTCTCAAAATTGTGAATACTGAATCTATTGATCTTCTTTTGGATCTATTCAATACCATATATAGAACAGATATAATACCGACAGAATGGCTACAATCAAAATTCATACTGCTTCCCAGAAAATCCAACGCAAATGAGTGCAATAACATCGCACCATAGCCTTAATGAGTCATGTCTTGAAACTGTTTTTAAAAGTAATTCACAATAGAATACATAAGAAATTAGATGAAGGCATAAGTAATACACAAATGGGATTTAGGAAAGGGCTGGGAACACAAGATGCACTATTTGTAGAAAGTGTACTTTCGCAGAGATGCTTAAATATAAATTAGGAAGTATATGCCTGATAAGTATATGCCATTCATTGATTTTGAGAAGGCTTTTGACAAAGTGCATCATAATCGGCTTAAAGAAATTTTATTAAATAAAAACATAGACAGTAGAGAAATTAGAATAATATATATGTAATCTCTATTGGAACCAAACAGCAAAAGTGAAAGTTGAAAATGAACTGACTGAGGATATCCAGATTCGCCGTGGGGTCCATCAAGGATGTATTTTATCACCCTTGTTATTCAATTAATACAGTGAAGCCATCTCAGAATTAGTGCTTGCCGGGGTAGTGAGGGCCTTATAATAAACGGTGAGCACCTTAATAACATAAGATATGCTGACGAGACCGTCCTTCTGGTAGGAACAGTGGACGAACTGCAACACCTTGCTGAACAACTAAATATATATTGCAACGATTATGGACTAAAAATAAATTTGAAGAAAACCAAGTGCATGGTATTTACAAAAGCCCAAAACATCAAAGTTAAGCTAGTACTAGATAATACAGAAATTAAACAAATATCTTCGTACAAATACCTTGGAGCATGGATCACAGAAGATACTCATCAGACAAAAGAACTAAGATGCCGCATTGAAATTGCACGGTCAACTTTCATTAGAATGAGAAAACTTTTTTGTAATCGTGATATTAATATATCGCTCATGATAAGAATGCTTCGCTGTTATATTTTCTCTACCTTTTTGTATTGGGTCGAAGCTTGGACACTTAAAAAAACAAACATAAAAAACCTAAAAGCATTTGAAATGTGTTGTTACCGACGTATTTTGAAAATATCATGGATGGATCGCAAAACAAACGAACAAGTTCTCGAACAACTAGGAAAACAATGCGAAGTTTTAAATTCCATAAAAATCAGGAAATTGGAATACTTGGGGCACATCATGAGAGATGAAAAATACGAACTGTTAAAGAATATAATGCAGGGTAAAATCAAATACAGTAGAAAATAATCCCGAATTACTTTAATCGTTAACACCTTAATATTTTAAAACCGCCACAACTTAATCACTTTCAACGCCACAAAGTACGAATTAATGTTTCCAACCAAGGAGCAAAGAAATTTTAGGTTCCCGCGTGACGTAGCTGCGCGGCCGAACCAAATTCAGCAACGACAATCGGCATACCGTTTAGTCTGTGTATCGTGATTTTTTATAATTATCTCAATCAATTGTTTATGAATTTTACTTTGGAAACTCTCAAAATAAAGGACTTTTTATCTACAACTTTTATTCGAAATATTTTTTCTAGAATGTATAATAAACTTTGTATACGCAAAAACTAGGTTTTTAACTTTTTAAGATTGTTTAAAAAAAAAACAAAACAAAATCAGCTGTACGTCTTCATGGATTTTTCATCAGCCACCCCTCACATATCTTTTAGAACCTTCAAATATCCGAGTAAGAGTTTTTCAGCTTTTTTTCTTCATTAACTGGGGTATATACAATACGACAAAATACGATAAAGACCTTTATGTTTGTGGCAATTACGGAGCAAAGTAGATGGTACAGATCTTCATGAAAAAAATATGATTGAAGATTTTATAAACAATGTATAATTAATTAATAAATACTGTAATTGTCGATTGTATATTTCAAAACCAACCTAATGAAAAACATGTATCTAAATATCTTACCTCCTATTTCTCCTACTCTTATTTTTTCTAGCCATAATTCGGAAGTTTCGTCGTACTCCCAAATTATCATACTCTTGTCAATGGATGCAGACAACAGTTGCTTACCGTCCAGACTCCATTGTACAGAATAAACCCAGCCTTCATGGCCAGATATTACGGACTCCAGATATATATTGTAGGTGTTGGATTTTGTTCGTAAATGCGCATTTTCGGGAACTTCTATTCCTAGGTTTTTTGTAGACAGGCGCCAAAGACGGATGAAGGCGTCTTGTGATGATGATGCCAATATTAAGTCATCGCCTATAATTTTTATTATATTAATTTTAAAGAGAATTATTACAGCAGAAGTGCCTAAGCTCTCATTAACACGTTAAGCCCCGGACCATCATGATATAAGTTTTCTGTCAAGTCGGAACATTTTTTTAATAATTTTGAAAATAATGTGTATAACTATTTATTTATATTCTAAAATAAAAAAAAATACAATACATTTTTACTTAAAAAACAGCATGTACCAACACGGTACACGCTGTCTGTTTTTAATTATTTTTGTAATTTGTTTTAATGTGGACCATGTGTGCTGTATTGGCTCACACCAGGAAGATAATCAAATATCTTCTCCCTAAGATATTTTAAGTTTAAAAATTCAAAAACAATTTATTTTTTCAAAGATAGTAATCACTCAAACATTATCTAACAATTTATTAAAATTCACAATCTACCATATTACAAAGAATCCTTATCTACCATTGTCCACCTTCTCTCGGTCAACAACTTAGTAGCACACTTATACAACAAATTTCAGGTTTCTACAAACTGAATTTAATACCACCAAAATAGATTTTGTTCAGGGTGCTAGATACTTTAGGTATAAAGGACCCCCTTTTATCTCTAATTGTTGATTAACTCCTTTTCTCCTTCAATCGCCCCCTCTCCTTCTCTTCAGTCATTTAGCTGAATATTAGCTTCAAATATTTGTTATTTAATTTTTACCTTGTCCTAGATGTGATAAACATAAAAGGATAATTTTCATAGATATAAGCTAATCCAAACATTAAATACACTTTTAGACCACATTCCATACGACAAAAAGCAACATAAGTTGCCTAAGGCACAGGTCATTCTATTAATCTAGACTATAAAACCATCATTGATTTCACATCTTTTATACCCTAAATTAATAAATAAAAAAGTTTTTTAAATCCTAACACCTAGATTGTTGTTATTTTTAAAATCATCAAAACTTGTTGAATCTTTTGGCTGTAGTAATACTATGTACAACTAATATAGTTTTTAATTACTATTTATAACTGGGAATAAGCCACATTAAAGATAAAAATACATTTATTGACGTTTCAATTTCCAATTCGGAAATCTCCAATTCCAAATCGGATTTCCGAATTGGAAATTGAAACGTCAATAAATGTATTTTTATCTTTAATGTGGCTTATTCCCAGTTATAAATAGTAATTAATTTACAATGCCACAAGAAAATAGCTTCAGAACAATAATATAGTTTTTGTTGCATTGACATTCTGTTTTCATCATCCTTCATAAGTATCTTGTCAATCAGTTCCCAGCTGTTCTCCGCGTGTAGAGGTTCTCTCTCACCGGCTCTGGTAACTCGATTCAGCCATGTGTTACCTCTAGTCAAATTAATTTAATACTGAACATCATAGTTATTTTATAACACAATGTACAATCTTTTATAACTAAATGTAATTTAAAGGGATTTTACCCTAGTATTTTGGTGGCTCAGGCATTGTGACCTAGTAAGTATAACCATCTTTTGCTCTTCAACCATAGTCAAAATTTCATAATCTCGTTTGTTTTAACTAAATGGTTCATACTTATTTTTAGGCATTTTCGATTTTAAAACCTGATGATGGACTGTGTGGTCCGAAAACGTTTGTTTTATTGATGTAGCCCTTTTAAGGGTTTTTTAAATAAATATACCCATTTACAAAGCCTAACCTCTTTTGTGATACGTGGTATACAGCCAGCTACAGGAATTTTTTCCTTGTGGATTTTGAAAATTGTCTTAGTCTCGTTAGACGTTCGAACCGATACTGACTGAAGTATGTTAGAAATTATAACCTAACCTGTTTGTGAACACGTGGTTTAACAGACCAATTTCTGATTTTGTTTACCACAGTCCGTTTACACAAATTTATACATAAGAAAGCACGGCAAATCCGATCCTCGACGAGCCACAGCTTTAGGAACACGACACTTCGCTGTGGCCTGATAGGTACACACGGTCCGAGATAAAACTAGAGTGTGTGCCAGTGTGGTACACATGGGGCTTAACGTGTTAAATAAAAATCGATAGGAAAAATCAGCAGCATATAACTAAACTAACTTTCAATAAGTGATGCAGGGCGTGTAAACAACGATAAAATTGTATTTTAATTGTTAAAAATGTACAATGTATAGTACATATATAAATTATTGTAATCACTGAATACATAGTTCCTGAAAAAATGATCATATTGGATCACCATGAAAAGATGATCAGATCTAGAGACAGATCAATCTTTTGAAAACCGGTGAACATTTTTAATGTCTTATAAATATTAGAAGACAAATCTATCATTGTTCTTGACAATACACCGTAACATTCTCGTAAAATAGAGAAAATACCAACAAGTGCATTTTAAAAAAGGAATATTCAGAATTGGCTTCGTTTTAAAAAATATAAAATTTTATCAACATATACTTAAAGTCCTTAAAAACAGAAAATTTTATGATAAATATGTAATTGTTGAAATGGCAAAAAGTCAGAATAAACTGGTATTGAGACTTCCTTCGTATCACTATGGGTTACAATTCAACTATGATTATATATGTCTAATCATCATTAGACATATATATTCAGAGACTTCAATCTTCCTGAAGCTTCATGGGATAACAATAAATCAGGTATCCTGGTGAATTGTCCTCAAGGTTCACATGCATTGTACTTGGATGAGTTTTATGGTTTTGTGAATTTTTTCCAAATGGAATAATATTCCAAATGTAAGAAATGTATTTTTAGACTTAATATTTACAAATGATTATGATTTACAAGTAGCAAAAGCTTCAGATACGATTTTTAAAAATAGTTATCACATAATTTACACTTACTCACAATATTAGTTTATGTGAATCTCAAAGTAGGTTATTAGAATAAACTGAATTTTATCATGATTTTGTAAACGCAGACTATGAAGTCTAATAACTATCTTTCAATGATACCTTTGGAAGACCATTTGAATTTGTCAAATGTTTATGATGCTTTAACAGAATTTTACACCATACTTAATATGTCATTATCATTGTTTGTACAGGTGAAAAGACTTACAACTTCTAGTTGTCCAAAATGGTTTAATGTCAACTTACGGTATCTAGTTGTACATAAAAAATTGCTTATAATAATTATTTCTTCTGTACGTGCCATCTCCGCGATGGAGGTTGGCAATCATGATTCTATTCTGAGTTTAGATGCTGCCGCTCTGAAAAGTTTGATTGATGTGCATTCGTACCATTGCCTCAAGTTACCCAACCATGAGATTCTTCTCCTTTCTACACTTCTCTTACCCTGGATTTTCCTTTGTATAATTAATTGAAGTATTTTGTATCTTTCATTGCGCAAATGCCTCAGGTATTGAATCTTGGTTATGGTTTCCAATATTTCCATTCTTTTGTTGACTCTTCTCATGGCTTCGTTGTTTGTTACATGCTCGGTCCATGATATCTTCAGGATTCTTCTATACACCTACAGTTACAATTGGGTAATCTGCCCAATTTTTAAATCAGGTAATAAACAAGAACTAAAAAAATTAGCGAAGCGTTTGTAAACAACCCTCTATACCAAAACTTTTCGATAGACTAGTGCACCATCAGTTAAAATTTTATTGTAAAGAGTGTCTAATACACAATCAATATGGATTTTCACAGAATAAATCAACAGTGACAAATTTAGTATTCTTTGAACAAAAAATATTAAACGCATTAGAGAATAAAAGTCAGATGTATACTATTTACACTGACTTCTTCAAGGCATTTGACAGAGTAAATCAAAGCATCCTATTAGAAATATTTAATGCCTTTGGCTTCAGTCATCAATTCTTACAATGGTTCAGCAGCTTTTTAGGAGATCGCACACAACAAGTGAGAATAGTTACTATTAAACTGGGAATAAGCCACAATTAAAGATAAAAATACGTTTATTGACGTTTCAATTTCGACTTCGGAAATCGTTCTCAAAATACGTGAAAGAAACTGAAACGTCAATAAACGTATTTTTATCTTTAATTGTGGCTTATTCCCAGTTTAATAGTAATTAATTTACAATGCCACAAGAAAATAGCTTCAGAACAATATTAAGTGAGAATAGGTTGTTTTAATTCAGATACAATTCATTTATACGAGGAGTAGGTACACCTGAGGACTATTCACCTTTGTTATTTAATATATTTGTGGACGATATATCAGAATGTTGTAGAAATTGCGAGTTTCTGATCTTATATCCCATGCCAGCAAGATAATGCTATAATCAATGAGAGACTGAAAACATTCCTTCAAAGAGAAATTCCACAAGAGCAAACTGGATTTACCAAAGGTAGAGGCACTCGAGAACACCTGCTGAATATAAGACAGATAATCGAGAAATCTAGGGAATTCAACATCCCACTATACATGTTTTATAGATTACCGTAAAGCGTTCGACAGGGTCAAGTGGAGACACTTATGGCGAATACTAAAAGAAGTAGGCGTACCACAACATCTAATTACGCTTATAACCGAACTATATGAACACACTACTGGATCAGTTAAAGTACTTGACACACTTTCGAACGAATTTCATCCAGAACGGGGTGTCAGACAAGGATGTATACTATCTCCACAATTATTCAACATATATGGGGAGTATATTATGCGAAGAGCACTTGAAGGATGGGAAAAGGGCATCTCAATAAATGGTCATAAACTAAACAACCTACGTTTCACAGATGACACAGCCCTTCTTGCAAATAGTTAAGCAGAGCTGATAGAACTTATACGACTAATCGAAAACGAAAGTCAAATATTTGGTCTGCAATTAAACATATCAAAGACAAAGATCATGATAGTGGATAGACTACACAACAATCATTCACACATAACCACAATTGACCGGTTCGAGGTTGTGAGCTCATACTTATATCTGGGATCATTAATCATAAACACAGGGTCATTACAAGAAGAGATTAAACGTAGATCTGATCTAGCAAAAGTTGCCACAGCAAAAATGGACAAATAATTCAATTTTAAGAGAGCTAAAAGTTAGCCAACGACTCTCTAGTAAAGTCCATCTCCAACAATTAAAATATTTTGGGCATGTTATGAGAGCAAACACAGAAAACATGGAAAGACTCATAATACAAGGAAAGGTAGAAGGCCGAAGATCACGAGGAAGATCCCCAACAAGATGGATAGAGCAAATTACAGGAATATGCCAAAGACCTATGCATGAATTAAAAGAAATGACCAGAGACAGAGATCTCTGGAGACGGACAATACACGACATCACGTCGAGCACTACACTCCCCCTGGGGGGTCAGGATTGAAGAGAGAGAGAGAGAGAGAGAGAGAGAGAGAGAGAGAGAGATCTTTGCAGATAATTTGAAATTATTTAAATCCGTAGATTCAAAAGATGAATAATTTTAATTCAAAGAGATTTACACCGGTTGAGTATTTGGTGTGAGAATAATATTTTGCATTTATGTTGCTAAATGCTGCTATATAAGTTTTTATAGAGGTATTAAAAAATAAGCTTTAGGCTTTATCATCCGCAACTGCTGATGAGGCTGAGACCATCTTTTTGAGCTTTAAGAACGGTTTAATATGCTATGGTCGTATCTGAAGTGGAATATGCATCTATTTTATGGTCTTCATAATACCAAGTTCATTCTACTACATTGGAGAAATTGCAGAGTAATTTTTTAAGACATTGTGCATATAAATTAAATATACGCATTATTAATCCTGATTATACAGATATTTTAAAAACACTCAACATGAATTTATTAAAAACTAAACGAGATAACTCTGATTGAATATTTTTGTTTAAATTAATAAATTGTTTAAAAATCGGATAAAAAGAGCTTGACAAGTTATATGTATAGGTACTTTTTGTTAATTTTAATTCATTTTGTTTCATTATAATTAATATTTTGGTTTATTGATAATTAGCATTTTAATTTCTCTCAGTTTGTAAGCAATTACAGAGATTGATTTTTGCACTGTATGTTAACATATATTTTTTTGTAATGGGGGTAATCTCGTATATTAATAAATAAAGAGCGAAAGTGTTTTTTATGAAATAGACTACATAATATAGAATTAATATGCATTAATAAAATAAATATTTACCATCTTTAGTAAAATCCAATCCCCTTACCCAATCTTCATGACCGGCCAGCTTGGTCCCTTCTTCAAATTGTAAATTGTCTGATTTGCTTTCAGAAAAAATATGAATTTTGGAATCATCTAGGGCACATGCTAATAACAATTCATCACTATTGGGTAAATATGTTAACCTTAAACTCAAACCTATATGGAATCCAAAACTGAGTGTCTGATTTAATACAAAGTCATCTGAAATTTAAAAAAGTATGTAAATTAACTTATATTTTTGTTAAACATATTTAAGTGTATGAGAAAGAGAATCAAATTCCTAAATAGCGTTAACTAACTATATAATGGAAGGAGGAAGTATAGGCCTGAAAATTGTAGAAAACATAAATATGCATCAGAAATTGAAAAAAACTCTTACACTTAAAAACTGAATGAACCGCAACTTTTGAGAAAAAAACTAAACCATATAATGATGAAAAAGAATTCAGTTTACATCTGTCTTTATAGCTAAATTGGATTCCAATCTCTTATAGGCCTATATCATTAGCTTCATCTGTGTTGAAAATCTTCGAGGGGCTTATCAAAAATCGTCATACCTGACACACAATATGGTTTCAGAAAATCTAGATCAACATTGGAAGCATAAACAGTAATTGAGGAGCTTAGAATAAAAGAAATCCAAGTGCAATTTTACTAGTTTTGAGATATTTAAGGTTAAAGTTTTTTAAATAATTAAAATTCCTTATACATTAGCTACGGTCTATCATAGTATTATTATATTACTGAAGAATCAGAAAATTATTATACCTATACAAGTTTTCAAAAAAAATAACCAATTCAGCTTTATTTTGAAAAAAAAAAACACTTAGATCCTTCTTATTCTGAACGGTCAACCAATTAATATCTGGACTAAAATGTATCCGTAGGATCTTTGCAGGAAAACAGTGAATTTTGGTAAATATTTGTTTAAAATTTTATTTGTTTATTATTATTATATTATTATTTATTTATACCTAATGTGAAAAGCTAAAATCCAGCACTGCTCTATCTTTCATGTCTTCTCCAAACTTAGTTTGCTGGGATGCCGACTCCAACGTTTTAGTTTTTTCTTGAAATCTATCTTCAGATACTTGACGGTATTAGATTTTGATTTTATTCTTGTATTCATTGGGAAGGTTGTTGTAGACCGGTGGAATAAAATAAAGTTTTTGAATATTGTCCCATTTCAATTTATTGATTTTTATCGGCTAAGCGTCAAGGTTTGTTCTCTATGCTAATAGTAGAACACTCTTTTTGTACACATACACACGTAAAAAATAAAAACTCTTCATTGAATGTTTCATTAAAAGAAAACGAAAATGTTTTGAAAGATTTTTCATACAAAATGTACCGCACTAGTCTCCATTTAAAAAGAACAGTAAAGAATATCCTTACTGTTTTTTTTGGGATCACTTATAACTTTGTTTATTGTTTCAAAACTGTAAAAGTTTTCTTGATTCATTCGGTGTACATTAAATTTTTTGCAAACTGATTGAATTTGTTCGGTCCAGTGCTCTGGAATAAATACCTGTGGATTCTTACGCTTCACTTTTGCAATTATACTAAAATCTTTATCGCACTTCATAAATGTATAGCTTTTACCTTTAAGAACATAAACAGCTTCACAATGTTTTTATTTTTGTTCTTCCCACCGCAGCAATCGTTATATGCGATAATCTTGGTAACACTTTTAAAGAGTAAGTTTTTAACAAAATGAATGAGGCACGAACCAAGTTCTTGATATCCCCTGCTTGAAATGGATTCATCCCAGATGTACATTTCTGATTTCCTGTGGTTACATTGTGAACACAAAAATTATACGTCCAAAGCTGTCGCAAATTAAACGCTTTCGTTGGAAGTAATTATTAAGGGAGTGGGAAGGGTTTGCTGAAGATCAAAATAAATTACGTTCATATCTACAGATGCTTTGTCATCTCTCGGTTTTCGGAATCTATCGTTATCCTACTTACCTTCAGTGACACTGCTATAATACATTTTATATTAATTTTTTTTAACTATTTCTATCGTTTTATACACAATTTAAGTCATAAATATCGAAGGTTATAATATACATTACTTCATATAAGTCGAAGAATAGTAAGAATACTGACTGAATTTCAGTTGTAAGTTGAAATATAAGGGAACCAACTGCGCTCGGATCCATTTTAAACTAAAAGTTTCTATACTTTTATTTATAAAACATTTTTCAAACCGCGGTAGATTGCAGTGTATGTATGAAATCTCTTAGATTCATTTTAAAATTAATAAAACTATACTTTAGGTATTCAAATCTGTATTTAACTCAATATTAAAAAAATTGCACTTGGACCCCTTTTATTCTAAGCCCTTCAATTGTGATAAATACTTTAGCTGGATTTACTAGTAACCTTATAACTACAACAAACAATGATATTGCCAGGGCATTAAATGCTCTGGCAAATTATACAACAAAATTCATTTGATTTGGACGTATTCAAAAGTTTGGGGGGATTTAGGGCTGCACACCCCCCTTAAAATTTTTCTGTGCGCTTAGATTTTGTTGTTTCTTTTGTATGAAATATGATTTCAGAACAAGAAAGTAACGTGTTCATTTTTATTACAAAATGTCAAGTAGTTTAGGAGATAATGCAAAAAAACAATTTTTATTTTGTAACTTCAAAGGGCTGTAACTTTTTTGTGTACACTTTTGTACTAAGGTAAGTTGGATTCAGACAATTTATTTTTGTCCCCGGAATGACTGATTTAATTTATGACATACCTTTTTGAAACACCCTGTATATATCCACTCTTCAAATACTGTATAATTTTCTGAGCCTGTACCGATTTGCACCAAAACTTGGCTATAGGTTATACTTATGGCTGTTTTAGCAGTTAAAACACACTGCGATTTGAAATGGGCGTATCACTTACTTCTCTACACTGCTTACGCCAGACTATATTTACTCAGTGGCGCCGGCCGACGGGTAGTTTAATGAAAACAAATGCATTATTCTCCATTCAAATTAGTTTGAACATGAACTAACTGACCGTACGCTCATGAGATTTGACGCCACGAAGGCGATAACGATGAAACTGAGCGCCAATGATGAGTAACACGTTTCACTATTAGATTTTAGTATTTTTTAGCAATTTTGTTCAAAGTTTGAACACGCTTTTCTCGATTATTACTGGACACAGAAAGGTGAATGGGTGTAAAAAGTTTGGTTATAATAGAACGTTAAACAGTATAATCCAATTTTTCAACAGAAGTTTCAAAAAAATTAAAAAGTAAAACCATCATTTTAAAGGCAACATAATTTCGAACAACGTGTCCAAATTTCGAGACATTTTGTCGGTAAATAAGAGAGAAAACACTGTGCCTAGGTTTTGGTGTACCGATAAAACAGCCTTATCCCTAACTTCAAAATTGACTCTGTGCCGTAGGGTGTTTTCACCCCGGGGGATACCACCCCTTCTTGGAGTTTAATTTTTTATTAAAAATATTACCGGGAACTAATATATGTATTAACCAACTTTAAGCAACTTTTGTCCTGTACATATTTTCCTGAAAGTTAAAACTTTTTCACCTATTCGCAAGTGAAAATTTCAATTATTTTACAAAAAACAAACACTTTTTTTGCAAATTACTCAAAAAGTATGTGTTTTAGCAAAAAATTTCAAATAATATAAAAACATTTAGTGTATAAAAAACAAAAGGATGGTGGGTTTATGGTGTCTGTAGCCCGAATACAAAGAAGTAGCTTATTGAAAGCATTATCTCATAGAACCTTTTTTGTAGTGCTTTTATAAAAGTCTCTAGCACCAATCCCGAAGGAGTTATGACAAAAATATGGTTGGTCCTTTTTTTTTTCAGCGACAAAAAACGTGAAAATCACTTTAACCTTTAATTGTGGCTTATTCCCATTTAAATAGTAATTAATCACATAATTTTTACCTCTTTACAATTCACTTTGTTAATGTACATCTAGTATACTGTAGAAGTTGGCTGGTTTAAAATATATACTTAAAATTTTGTATATCTAATACAAAATTTTGAGAAAAGAAAATCTAACAATTGGGTAATCTGGACTCTAACCGTCTCAAAAGTTGCAGTAACATTGAGGTAAGATATTTTTTTAGCAATATATAGGACCAAACTGTTAATTTCAATTTTAATATTCATTTTACAAGAAAATATTTAAAACCACTAAACTGACAGTAGCTAAACTGATTATCAAAACGTCCATCGAGTATTTTTTTAAAATATTGTCAATATGTTCTACAATAATAATGACAAAAAACTAACACAATCTTCAACAGGAGTGTGTGTTTATTTTCAAAATGTAGGAGGTCTAAGAACTAAGCTTGACAGTTTATTTATGAATGTATCCTATCCTCATTACAGTATTATCATATTCAACGAGACTTGGTTGACATGCAACTATGCTAATGAAGAATTGCAGTTGTTTGACCTCAACATATATGTAACTGATCGCTCCAGTGACACAAGTTCATTCTCAAGAGGTGGTGGAGTCCTTATTGCAGTTCATAAGAGCATTAGCAGTAGATCTTTAACAGTTAACCAGACAATCGAACAACTTTTTGTCTTGGTGACTGAAGGTGCAAACCAGTTTATTATAGGAACAACATATTTTCCACCAAAATCTACATTTAAAAAATATTCCATATTTTGTGAAACCTTTTAACAAATATCTGAAATTTATCCATCCGCACACTATTATCTGGCTGCTGACTTCAATTTACTAAACTTTGAATGGTTTTCAAATGACATGCTGCCACAGCATCTGAAGTTGAAGCGCTGGAGGTAGTGTCTGGTATTTGTGCGTACCACAATTTGTTTCAGTCCAACACTATTGTGAATTCCACTGGTAACATTCTCGATTTGGTGCTGGTTGATGATGCTGATGTATCTGTATCCAGGGCAGATGAAGCTCTTTTGAGGGAGGGTATGCACCACCCACCCCTGGAATTTGAGATAAAAATGGCCAAAAGGTGCCCCAATAATAGTGGTTTTGTTAGTGATGGTTTCTATGAGGACTTTAAGTCGGCTGACTATGTGAAAATAACTGATTTTTTATCACAGTTCTGTTGGGATAATTTATTTTTAGAAAAACCACTGAATCAAATTGTGAATATTTTTTATAATATAAGTAGTTTACTTAGCTATATAATTATTTATCCCCCTAAAAAGGTATTCAAAA